ATGCTTCTATTTCTTGATTTATCAATGTTTCATATTATCTGTTGATAATTCTGACGCATATTTAGTTCTATTAATCTTCCATCCAATTGTTTCCATTCCTATCATCATCCCAATAGAGTTAAATCTTGATTTTTTTGCTGTCAATATTCAGTGATTATATTATTATTGCTATGAAAATATTTAATGCTGAACCAATTTGTATATTATTTTGCTTCTTTTATTAATACAACTTTTTGTTGGTGTTAATAATTTCCTAATTTCTTTCATTTGCTTGGTTTCCTGTGTTTCTATTGCTATTTAATAATACTTTTCTCAACATAATTTTACACACAGTCGAATGTTCTGGTTTTTGTCTATCTACTATCTCTCATAAACCTATTCTCCTTAATACTCTGCAATCCATATACACCATCCCTCTTGGCTTGAATTATCACTATCTGCTGACATTCTGGTCATTCTCTCCAACCTTCAACAGTTTCGTCATCAGCCTACAATCCTATCTCCACTTCCTACTGACTCCTGCTCTGAAATCACCTCTAAGAACTTCACCAACCGTATCAGTAATCTTTCCCACACTTTATCCTCATGGTTCTTCATCACCTTCAATTTCTTCAATTCACATCGAATTTGGCCACTCCTTGAACCGATAGCATCACTTGAAACTGTTTAACCTGGAATTCCAAATGTCTCTCACTCTTATCATCATTTTAAGATCTCCTACTCTTTCATTTCGACTTAACCTTGCCCTTACCAAGTTCTGTATCCCTCAGTTTTAAGGCAGACTGGTCTCCATTGTCAGACAATTCAACAATGCTCCTGCTAGATGCCCTTAAATTTTTTGTTGCCTTCTCCTATTACTTCCTCACTTTGCTGATCCCTTATTTTGGGTAAACTATCATCCACTTTCTCTGCCCTTAGATTGTGACTTTTTTGTGTAACGACACCAGGTTTGTTGCCTGAGGCATGGCAAGTTGGTACACTGAGACACTGAGTTGCAGCAGACAAAGAGGATTTAATTGCAAGGCAGCCAAACAAAGAGACAGGAGGCAACCTCAAATCTACCTCCCCAAGGAGTTTAGGGCTAGGGATTTCAACGGGTTTGGATGGGCAGTAGGCAGAGGTGTGGAGATCCGTGTTTCATGGAAGAGGGAAGGGTGAAGTCATGGGATGAGGAGACAAGGAAGCTGCATTCTTATGCTGACTCAGTCCCTTGGTAAGGGCTCTTCAAACTGGTTGGTGCCAGCCATTCTATTAGAATTCAGGATCTGAAAAACAGTTCAAACAGAAAGTCAGAAAGTCATAGGCTTCTAATGTTAAAGATGTACAATGGGGAGCAATGGGGAAGTTAATACTGTCTATGTCCTGGCCTATATAACTTTTGGTTAGTAAGGCACCCACAGGGGGGTGGGATCAGAGTGCAGCTCGATTAATACTTAAGGATATTTCAGCCCAGAGCCTGTCATGTTATTTTAATTAACCCAGTGAGGATGGTTTTATTTGTATGCTACAGAAAGTCCCCAAACTAGGCTGGTGCAGTACAGATCGTGACTGTCTTGCTGGACTTCCTCCATTGCTAGACAATCCCTTTAATTGATTCTAATTGACTTGTTATCACTCTCTTCAGTATCTAATCCTTATCTTTCCCATCCTGCTCATACTCCGAGTCCCACTGCTTCTCACTGCTTCTCTGCAGGTGGCCTTGACTTCTGTTGAAAATGGGCATTGGATCCAAACTTTAGTGTGCACAAGAATCAATTGGAGGTCCTATTTATGTAGAGATTGCTGGGGACCAATAATTTGCATTTTGAAGCACCCTGTTTATCCTAATATGACTGGTCCAGAGATCACAATTTGAGTACACTATGTAAACTCCTTCAATGCCCTACTTCACTGAAAAAATTCTCTATAACTTAAGAAAACTTTTGATTCTTTTGCTCTTCAAGAATTAAGACTCTAACTTTGACCTTTTTTTCCAAGGCGATTCTCTTCACAGCCCTACCATTCTATTGACTTGTGATCTCATCTTTTTTGTTCCCTTCACCTGCAGAATATCCATAGGAAGAATTCATGCTCACTGATGCCATTTCTTCACTACACACACATTCCTTAACACTTTGAAAAACAGATTCTAGCTTCACTAAGTTCTTGAAACTGCATTTATTGACTTCCAAGTTGCCAAATTCTGTTTCCTTTTCTTGATCCTCATCTTGTTCCAGTTGTACTGCATTTGTCACTGTACATCCATTCTATTTTTTTTTCTTTTTCTTTTATTTCAGCATATTATGAGGGTACAGATGTTTAGGTTATGTATGTTGCCCTTGGTCCCCCCC